GTGGATGACCAGCCTCATGTAGGTCTTGTAGGTGTCCTCCTTGGTCATCGTGTCGTATTTCGACCCTGCTGGGGGCGAGGTCAGAGAGAGGTCAGGGGAGTAAGAGGGAAGGAAAAGAGAGAGAGAGAGAGAGAAATGGATTGATAGGCAGTTAGGTCGAAAAAAATATATATAGATAGATAGATAGATAGATAGATAGATAGAAAGATAGAGATGTATATATATATATATATGTATGTATATATATATATATATATATATATATATATATATATATATATATATATATAGAGAGAGAGAGAGAGAGAGAGAGAGAGAGAGAGAGAGAGAGAGAGAAAGACAGAGTCAGAGAGTAGAATGAAAATGAAAGCGAAAAAAAAGAAAGAAAAATAGAAGTAAAGAGTAAAGAAAAATATTAGCGACAGCAAAACAAACATAACAACTGGAAATGAAGAAAAAATCAAGGAAGAAAGAAAGAAAAAAATACACAATTTACATTTACATCATTACGAGCCAAAAAATTCCACAAAGAAATTCGTATCGTGGATCATATTTCAGACCATTACTCTAAATTACGTTTCCTCTCTATGATATTCATTCTTAGATGGCTCTCAGTCAGTTCAAAGTCCTACTCTTATTTCAGTCAAAATCAATATCAATCGTGCACACGAACAATCATTAAACAAATACACAAACATATACACACACAAACTCAAAAATAACACACAAACAAGCAAAAACAAAAATATGCAAACAAAAACAAACAAAATGAACATACACAAACAAACAAAAAGAAAACACACGCACAAATAACATAGACAAATAAACAAAAACAAACACACAGAAATCAAACAAAAACACACACACACAAACAAAAAACACACACAAATCAAACAAAAACACACACACAAACAAAAAACACACACACAAACAATCACAAACAAAAAACAAAAACACACTAACAAAAAAAACACACACACACACACAAACCAACAAAAACAAACAATAAAAAACAAACACACAAACTAACAACAAAAACACCCTCATACATACACAAACAAACAAACAAACAAACACCAAAACATACCCACATATCCCCTCCCTCTCCCCCTCCCCCCTCCCCCCCTCCCCCACCCACTCACCTGCTGCTATCATCTCTCCTTTATGATTAGTCCAGTAGTTAATCGACCGGGGAAACGCCTCCGTGTTACATTCCAACACCGTGGTACTGCCCAAACGAGCGCCTTCCAGCTGGTTGGGAATCCACAGCATGGGTGGGACTAAAGAGGGGAACAAGAGAGAGAGAAAGAGGGTGAGTGAGAGGGAGGAGGAGGAGGAGGGTGAGAGGGAGCGAGGGAGGGAAGTTGGTGGGAGTGGGAGGGAAGGGGAGGGAGTGGGAGGGAAGGGGAGGGAGTAGGAGGGAGAGGGAGTTGGTGGAAGGGAAGGAGAGGGAGTGGGAGGGTGAGTGAGAGGGAGGGAAGAGGAGGGAGTGGGAGGGAAGGGGAGGGAGTGGGAGGGTGAGTGAGAGGGAGGGAAGAGGAGGGAGTGGGAGGGAAGGGGAGGGAGTGGGAGGGAGGGGAGTTGATGGGAGGGAAGAGGAGGGAGTGGGAGAGAGAGAGAGTTGGTGGGAGGGAGAGAGAAGAGGTGGGAGGGAGAGAGAGTTGGTGGGTGGGAGGGAGAGTTAGTGGGAGGGAAGGGGAGGGAGTGGGAGGGAAGAGGAGGGAGTGGGAGGGAGAGAGAGTTAGTGGGAGGGAAGGGGAGGGAGTGGGAGGGAAGAGGAGGGAGTGGGAGGGAAGGGGAGGGAGTGGGAGGGAAGGGGAGGGAGTGGGAGGGAGAGAGAGTTAGTGGGAGGGAGAGAGAGTTGGTGAGTGTGAGGGAGAGTTAGTGGGAGGGAAGGGGAGGAAGTGGGAGGGAAAGGGAGGTAGTGGCAGGGAAGGGGAGGGAGAGAAAGTGAGTGGGTGAGAAAGAAAGTGAGTGAGAGGAAGAGTGAGTTTAAAGTACAGAGAATGAGTGAGGAGAAAAGAGAGTGAGTGAAAAAGAGAGTGAAAACGATGTGGAGGGAACGAGAACATGATAGAAAGAATAAAAGTGAAAGGTAAATGAATTAAGAGAACGAGAGAGAAATAGAGATTAAGAGAAAATAAAGAGAAATAGAGATTAAGAGAGAAAGGGAGAATGAAACAGAAAGGGGGCTTTAAGTGAGACAGAGGATGAGAGAGAAAGAGAGAATAAGATAGAAATAAAGAAAGAGAATATAAGAAAGAATAAGAGAGAATGAGAGAGGAAGAGAGAATAAGAGAGAATGAGAGAGGAAGAGATAATAAGAGACTGAGAGAGAAAGAGAGATTAAGAGAGAAAGAGAAAATAAGATGGAAAGAGAGAGAAAGAGAGATTAAGAGAGAAAAAGATAATGAGGGAAGAAGAGAACGATATAGGAAGAGAAAAATAGAGAATGAGAGAATAAGACAAAATAAGAAAGAGAAACAGAACGGTAGAGAAT